GAAAGAGGTAATCATTAAGGCTATGTGCACTTCAAAATGATTTGAAGTGTTTTGGACCTCACACAAATGCAGCATCTCTCTGTTAATCATTGAAGTTTGTCCAACTCCAGCTGGTGCACTAGTTGCAGCCCTTTCTGGAGCAAGAAGACTTGGCCACAGTGACATGTGTGCTTATCACCACATGGTTGGACTTTCTTAATGCGCTGTATAGGGGTCCTGCCTTTGAAGACCACCCACAAAACTACAGTTGGTTCAGAAAGCTGCAGCCCATGTATTGACTGGCACTAGTTGTATGACACCAATTTTGCAGGGCCTGCATTGGTTATCACTTGGTTTCTGGATATAATTCAATATGCTAGTTTTGACATATAAAGTCATACATAACTTGGCATCTAGATACCATCAGGATCTCTTACTCCAAATAGAGTTGACTGTCAAAGAGAATCTTCTGGGAGAAGTAGCTTCTTGTCTTCCCCTCCCCAAAAACCAACTTATCTCTCATTTTTGTGAAGAGGTGGGAGCCAGAAAATGCTTATTCTTCCATCATGGTTACTTTACTCAGGAACAGCCTCCCTTTAGAAGCTAGGCTAGCCCCCATGGTGATTACCTTCTGGAAGGTTGTGAAGACTGTATTTTTCCAGAGGGCCTTTAGGTATTGATTATTGTCTGGAAGCAGATTATATTTGTTAATTACTTTATTAGTGAAATGTTTTATTTAATGAAGTTTATTTTGATCTGATATTGTAGGTTTTTTATTTTGTTATAAGCTGCTGTAAGTCAACTTAACAGCACATACTGTACATTTCAATAAACCTAAATAAATAAGTACCTCTTTTCAGGCTTTTGGATGAGCCTGAAAAAACCTGCCATTGCTGAAAGGAATTTGGTCATTACATTTACTGTAATGTGTCTCTTAAGGCAATAGCACACTTTTTTCATCCATGCAAAAACCTGAAGAACAGTCAAGCTACTTTTAATGAATAACAGAAAGATGCTGTGGAGACCTTGGTGCTTTCTGAGCTTGGTTGTTTTCTTGCAGACGTTGCATTCATTACCCAACTAGATAACATCACATTACCCGACTAGGTAACATCATCAGTGCTGGTGAGTGTGGGGTTTGCTCCCTGTTTATATACAGTAGCTTGCCTTGACAGTGTTGGTGGGGGTGTGGTTTTCTCCTTGGTAGTTCCTTCATTAGGGTATTATTTTCTGCTTGTTTGTCTAGTGTTAATCCTTGCTTATCTCGGTGTTGTCTGTTGGCGAGGATGTGTTTTGGTCTTTTTGTTTCCTTCTTGGCTTCTTTTATTGTCTCTTTTGAATGGTGTGTAAATACAGGTTATCTCTATGTGTCTATTGATGGCTGATTTGTATGTATGCCAAGCTTCCAGGAATTCCCTAGCATTTTTGGATTTAGCTTGGTTTAGAATGCTCTCCATTTCCCAGTTGAAACTATGGTTGAGTCTATCTATGTGTTGTGAGATTGAATTGTCATCATGTCTTCTGACTGCTATTGTAAGCTACTGTATATACTGCATATTGTAAGCTACTGTATGTAAACAGGGAGCAAACCCCACATTCACTGGCACTGATGTTTCCTAGTTGGGTAATGAAACATGTACAAGAAACAACAAAGCTCACAGAGCACTTAGGGCTCCACAGTTCAACCTGAGCTACATATATTCTCTTCTATTGAAAAGATGCTGTGCTTGTGCTCCTGCAAAGTCTGAAGCACTTCTGAATCATTTTGGAAGAGTGCAGGACCCCAGCAATCATATTGGCATTCATCCCAAAACTGGGGATAATCAAGTACACATGGCATAAGCTTAGTTTTTAACCATTTCTCCATTAAAAATTTGCTAGAAGATACCATTTCCCACGTACCTGAAAGCATTGGTTACTGTACTATATTTGTGACTTATCTTGGCTTTTCTGTGATATACTGCTGTCCCCTGCTGTTAGAAATTTAAGATGACATCCCCACGCCCCAGCATTCAGATCAAAAACCCAAAACAATTTGAGTGTAAACAGCTGTTGTTAACAATTATTTTCCTAACAGCATACAAAGTATCACAATTATAATCAAATCTTGTTCAATAGCTAATCTTTGGAATGTTACTTTCTCTGATTCAAAAGCTGCAGAAGTAGCCTTTTCAGTTCAGTTTTCTTTGATTAAAGATCACTGCATAATTCATTGTAATATTTATTTTCAAATATACAAGTCTACCATACTGACAGCAAGCAGATATTCCAATAGGCTGATACCTCTGCCACTAATCAGGTCCTCAAAAAAAGCTTCATATCTCCAGAGTCTTCAGCCAACCCACATTCTGCCCCTCCTTTCTGAAGTATTTTTCTAACTTGTACCAACTGAAGGATGTTACTGTTGTAATATTTTATTACAAAATAGCTCCTAGGTGAATTACACTTACTGTCATTTGTTTCTACTTATGAAACTACTACAGTACTATTATTTTAGATCAGTGGTGGGTAACTTGTGCTTCCAAGCACCTCATTTGTACCTCCCAAAAATGGGCAGTATTGAAAGTTTCAGACTGGTTGGAAGGGATGTTTAAAGGACAAAATAGATGCCTTTAGCAATGCAGACTTGAAGCTCCCATAAAAGTCTTTAGACCACCAAAAAACAAAAAACAAAAAAACTGCCCACTTCAGTGATGTCACAGTGTCAACATTCACTTCCCTATGATTCCCAGGCACAAAGAAGGATGTTGTAGTTTCCAGAGTGAAAAAGATTACCCACCCTTGTGTTAAATTATGCATACACAAATCTTTTTTGGGTTGGCAGTTTTGTGGGTCTTGTGCAATAGGTCAAAAGCACAAGTGGACAAGGCAGTATACAAAGTGAACATCAGTAATAAATAAATAAGAATTCATGAATACATCTGCTCATGCAGCTTTAGCAAGTGACACTATCTAGCTGATATTCACTGGTCTCTGAAGCAAAACAGGGACAGACCTTGTTAATACTTGGATAGTGCTGGGAGTTCAGAAGTTATCCTGGAATACATCCATGACAAACTACATAATGAAAACTGTCAGTGCAATCACGAGGGCTTGAACACAAAGGGGTCTCTGCATTTCCAATGTGGCTTTTTATCATTCCAAATTGTACTCCTGCTCTGATAATAAAGAAGATCATATTGTCAAAATTTAACTTTAGCACAAAGGGAAACTACTGTCTATATGTGAGTTCACATTCCTGAACGTGCATGTGTATGGTAAAGTGTGTTAAGAGCTACAAATCCATAATAGCACACATCTCTGCAATGGATTGTCCCCATCTACTTTAGACTGTGACCCTATTACTGTTGGGCATATATTCCCCAATAATTCAGCCCACAATCCTCGTCCCAGTTTATGGTTTGAAGTATTTTTATCAAGGAAAGGTAATGGCTAGAAATGCTAATGCATTCACATAATTTTGCATCGCACTGAAAAACTTTGAAATACAGTGGTACCTCTGGTCACGAACGCTTCTGTTCACTACCAATTCAGGTCATGAACAGCACCGTTTGCAAAATTTTGCTTACGTTCGCGAACACCAGATCGGGTGACGAACAGGATCTGTGGCCATTTTCCCTGCCATGACACATGGTCATAGCTTCCTGTAGGGAGGGGGACTCTCCCTCCAAGCA